GAGAGAGAGAGAGAGATGTGAGCATTGAGTCCTTATAAAGGCGAACGGGTGGTGGGTGGAGGGAGGAGGATGGCCCATTATTGACACTCGAGAGAGACTGATGCCCATGACAGGCAATTTTCTAAGACCAAGTTGATAACTGTTGACCCTTGGCTTGGCTGGATTGTGACCAAAACTCTTAATTGACTTGTCTTGTAGGTGTTTTATTTTCAATCTGAATTCCTACATAATGGAAGACAAATAAATAATGTGCTAATTTGATATGTAATGCTAAATATTAATCTGAGCTATTCATAAAAAACAATGTCCAAAACAGTATCTTATACTTGCAAATGAAAGTGCTTAGCTAGATCAAATATGCTCTATAGTTGCATGCTGACACAACACTTACCTAAGCTTCCTTCATGTATTCAATCACCACTTGTTTTTGCGCTGCTAGAATTCCCCAATTATCCAAATACAGATACTTTAATAGGAAGGATCTATAGATATTTGGATTCTTTTATGAGACTGGATATACTAATCTGCTGCACATCATGGAGGGCAAAAAATCAACTCTGATATATCAAATACCACTGATGTGACAAGCAACATCAAAATTTTCTCAAACATAATTAACTCATTTATCATGATGCCCAGAATCAGACAGACTGAGCCTTCGACTAAAAGTTTTCTTTTGTATTCAATGAATGAAAGCACATGAAGGCAAAATCCAGTGGTATTTCTTGTACATAAGAGTTTTGGAGATCTGTGGACTGTAATCCATCTTTGAATTCCACCAACTTCCTTACAGTACATTGAAGCGAATCTATAGCTAATATTACTACAACATCACATAAAGAATTAACATGATAGTGACTGCATCAAACAAAAGCAATGCTTGGAACTTGCTACACTCACTGTACACGACATATTAGAGAATCAAATCGTTGAGAAATATTTTTTTCCCAAGAACAGCCTAAGTAGATCCACTTCAAAGAGCATACATAGGACAAGATAAGGTTGATGCAGCCCATGATGTCCCTCGTATCATGATTTCCGGTGAATCAACAACTGAGCCTTTTACTACAGGTTTTTCTTCTGTTCTGCAAGTTTAGGTGATTCTGCAGGGAAGTACTTGATGCCCACAAGGTCACCAACTTTGCTGATCACCTGGAGTTGTGTAATAAGGAATGAGTATAAGATCAAAGAAATTGGATCATCTGAAGCAAAACAGAATGTATGAAATTAACTTACCTCCAAACCTTTTACCAGGTCTTCTCTGGAGTGTGAAGCAGATATGCAGATGCGAGCTCTTGCAAGAAGCAGTGGTGTTGCAGGAAATGCAACAGTCACAACCGCAACCTACAGTGTTGGCAGCAATAATTGTCAGTTTTTGGTATTCACCAGTTGAAAGGAAAATAAAGGCATCTTATAACTGATGCCATGAGAACGAGCAACAAATTCAGAATATGGATGAACATGGTCAAAAAGAAAAATGAAGACAAATGTGTACACACATCAAAGTGCTATCTCATTTGTAAGGAACACACAAGTGTCTATAGGATAATTCCTCGTAAAAATAATGGGCACTAAACATTAAAATTGCAGTTTTTTCCTACAAAACTACCTAGGTGTTCATATGAACATCTATTTGTGTAATCAACCGATGTATCTACTCTGAAGAACTCCATGTGTTCTCATATCATTGCTGAAAATATAGCATGAAAAATAATGCAAGAATACAAGCACAACACGTCTACAACTCGATGAAGACAAAAGCATATACTGGACTTCAAAAAGTTGTATATATAATATCAATCATAATAGTAAAATTGTCAACAAATGGCATGACACTTACATTCTGTCTAAGACATTCCCTTGAGAAGGCTGGGATTTTTGCTGGGTTGTAGAGCATTATTGGCATAACTGGAGAATCATTATCACCAAGAACCTCAAATCCCATTTTCTGAAGTTCTGACCTGAAGAAGTTGCTATTTTCACGGATGCGTGCAAGTTTCTGAGCCCCTGGTACAACCATACCAATCACAAATAAAAACTTCTGTACTTCGATATACATCAAAGGAGACATCGTTAACTAACTAAAAATTGTTAGTTGCATCACAAATGTTCCATTAAGTACCTCTATTCGAACCATCTTCCCCAAGGATAACCTTAATTGCAGAGATAACTTGTTGCACAGCAGGTGGTGATATGGATGTGGCATACAGATGTGCAGGACAAGTGTACTTAAGAAATTGGATGATTTCCTGAATAAGACATAAGAAGGTTTAGGAAGTATATCCTAAATTGGCCCTACTTCATAAGTGATTTTGTGAAATTTGGTACAACAAGAATAGGACCTTTGATGCTGCAATGTAGCCTCCACAAGATCCAAATGATTTTGTAAATGTTCCCATCATGATGTCCACATCAGCTGTATCTACTCCTAGGAGCTCACAGACCCCTCTGCCTGATTTTCCAACAGCGCCGATGCTGTGGGCTTCATCCAAATATGTGTAGGCCTGTTTTCATATAAAAAGAAGTGCACATTATTATTATTTAATTATTATCCATCAAGAAGCATCTTTCTCCTATCTGATTCTCCCGGATGAATGTGAATTAAAGATCAGAAATTAAGATTTGAAATGTAACTCATCAAACCTTATACTTTTTGCAGACTGCTATGATTTCAGGAAGCTTGCAAAGTTCTCCTTCCATGCTGTAGATACCCTCAACAATGACAATTATCTTTTTCCAAGGTCTATGCGTCCGAGGCTGTCCCTCAGCTATCTGCTCTCTCAGAACCTCTTCCAAATGCGAGGGGCCTAGACAATATCGAAATGTAAGTTAAAAGCAAGGAAGAATGTGGACAATACAGCATCTGACAGCTTAAAACTTACTGTTGTGCTGGAAAACACGTACTGCTGCACCAGATCCTCGGGCACCATTGACAATAGAGTTATGGTTCAAAGAATCACTAATGATCAATCCTCCCTGAAAATGACCATGATTAGCGTTAGTCCATCAACAAAAGCTGCATGAATCTCATGATTGCAAGCGCAAAGCTTTTAAGGTCTAGTGCCTTTAAGAACTTAAACATACCTTCCCAATTAGAGCAGGGATAATTGCAGAGTTTGTCACATAACCCATACCAAAAAGTAAAGCAGCTGGTTTTCCCACAAACCTTGCAACCAGTTCCTCCAGCTCAGTGTGCAGGTTTGTAGTCCCTGATACAAGACAAAGCATAATCACATTAATCCAAACTCATCAATATCTACTTTTCTAATTGACATGGCATGCAAAAGATTCATACCGCCATCAACACGAACACTGCATGTACTGGGTGAATATTTCTTCAGAGAATCAATAACATGAGGTGTACAGTATTCATCAGCTGCTGCAAATCCAAGGTAGTTGTATGATCCCAGATTCAGGCACTTTGTAGTATTTGAGGTCCGGCTGCATTAAGTAACAGGAACAAATAAACCTCAACACATTCCAATTGCAATCACAAAATATATTCCAGAGACTAGAAAATAGGAATGATTTGAAAGTTTGCTCATCTATATTTTTCTTGAGAAGGATTTACAGTTCCCAAATCCTTGGGAGAGAATAAATGCCACATATTTCAGATAAGATGCCTTGTACACCTTTACTTTCTATATAACAAAAACTCATATTCTGACAGAAAGTCCGTATTAAAAATACTTACTGCAGTGTCTTGTTGTTGTCATTAGAGTAACGGTCAACTACATCAAACCAAGCATCTGGTGCACTCGCAATTGGTCGGCTAAAACAGTCCTGCCAAATTAGAATGCTATCAATACATTGTTCAAAACGAGCAGCTTAACAACAGAATCCATTGGTAAGACCTACTGATTAAAGGATGTGCATGACCATTTCATCTGCAGCAGATCTAACTTTCTCTGATGTCACTAATAGAAGGAAATTGAATATCCAAATTCACCTATATTCTCTCACTTAAAAGTCTAAGACTATGTTCAGACCAAGAATGAAATTAATATAAATAGTAACAAGCAGTTGGTGCAGGATAATACTCGCACCTTGGTCTTGAAAATTTGTAATGAGATCGATTGATGAAAACAATAGTTACTTTAAAAGATTAGATATCATAAATCAACATTTTAAAAGTTGTTAGACAAGATAGGCTTTATTGTAGTCAACTACATAGAGTTATTTCCTTCACAAACAACGTAATTAAGTTAAACATAGATCTTATCGTATTAAATCTAGTTTAGAAAACAAGTAAACTACATCAGGTGTTCTCTTTCTGTCCTATAATTAAATTAAAAAATCAATAGTGAAACAATCATTAGCATTAAGTTTACAACGCCAATTTCATTACGAGTGCAGCTCATTGCAATATTTTTACAAATGCAGACCCTTTCTATCAGAATTTCTTGAATGGAAAACACTTGTGTTGAGATATTCATACTGTGAATGTTTCCCTCTCCCAGTTTTATATTATGATGAAATCAAGTGAACAAATCTATTTTATCGGGACATCCAATGAATCATTTAGCGTCGGAATGTCTCATATCAGCGATTCAGAGAGGCAAGACCAATCAGATCAAGACGATACAGAAATTTGAAAGAAAAGCCGGGTACAGAATGAAGGAAAGGACAAACCTGAATCCTGAGATAAAGCCGGCGGGTGTAGAAATCTTCTAGCCCCAAGCAGATAGGCGCATAGCCCTGTCGCAAATAAAATACGAAATTGAATCCTCGATCGGAACCCAAATAATTCAACGAATGCTCAAAGAAATAGGTTGGGGATGGACCTTGAGGTCCTTGGACTTGGATTTGGACCAATCGATGAGCCTCCGAAAGAAATCCCTCATCTGCCCGAAGGCGAAGAGGAGACCATAGCTGAAGAGCGTGGTGAGCGCGGTCAGGTACGGCAACCTCACCATCGTTTCGCGGCGGGTGTTCGGCTACCAAACCGGCGATGAATCAAGGTAGAGCGAGAATCGAGGGCGAGAGGAAGGCAATGTGGGGGGACGAGGAGAGCGAGGGGGAGGATGGCGTTTAAATGGACGGAACGGTCATCGTTGGCGTCGTCGAGAAGAGTGGAAGAGAAGACTTAGACTCGAGGGCGGTATGTCGACCGGTCGAACGACGAAAGCTCCTCGACTCAGTTCTCACCTCTCTCTCTCTCTCTCTCTCTCCCCCTTCTTTAATTTTTTTCTTCTACTTTCACTTTATCGAATATTAAATAATTGGATATCGTATATTACACAATAATATCCATATAATGTTATTTATACTAATTAATCGTATTAAACAGCGAGGTTGAAGAACGTTTCCTCGTTTGATTGCAATAATAAAACATGAGCTCTACATAATTGAAATAGTGTTGCTGAATTCAACAAGTGAATCCATCAGTCAAATACGACGTTGTTGCGTGACCTCTTCACTACGGCCGAGCTCAGCATCACCCCGCCCCATTGACTACGGCAGCGAAGGAGAGACAAGACCTATTCTGGTATAATAAACTCATCGCTATTCATGAGGGTATAATAAATCCTCATTAATTCTAAGGGTTTCTTGACGTCCGATGCTTTTCATATTGTTAACATCCCCAACAACTACGAGGGAGGGAAGACTGACTAGGATTAATTATATATATATATATATATATATATATATATATATATATATATATATATATATATATATATAATACTTATATCATATTAATATCATTTTGTACTTATATATATATATTTTTATCATTTTGTACTTATATTTTTTCATACTTATATCATTTTAAAATTTTATATTGATATCTCTATAATTTTAAAAATAAAATAAATAATCTTAATTCCTAACACAATTAGCTCCGGTAATGAAAAATATAACACATATTTGATCGACGTGAAAATGATGATAAAAATATAATTTTAATATTTTTTATTTATTTCTAATAAGTTTATTGATAAAAAAATAATTTTAACATATCACATGTTGAAAATATAAGGGATGTTGAAATTATCTTTTTGTTTGTCACTTTTGCGTCCATCTAACACGTGGTGTAATGAGTTATATTTTCGGTTTCACTTTCAGAATAATAAGGATCTCAATATAATTTTTTTAAGTACAAAGATTATAATATTAATAGAATCTAAGTATAAAAAATAATATGTAATTAGCTCAACTTTAGAAATAATTTATAAAGTTTACTTACTTTAGAAATCCTACACTAAAAAGACATTTATTTTGTAAATGATTCATATCGTAAGAGAGACGAATAGTTGCGTTGAATAAAAATCCTAATTAGCTTTCCTTTGCAGCTCTATTGAATGATTTTTTTCTCAAAAAGAAAATTTTGAAGGTCAGGTTTTGAGTTCCAATCATGCAAGAACTGGTCTTGGCCAATCAATTCAATCAAGTCCTTTGGGGACTATATTTTCTCCCTCAAATGCCTATAAAATATTGATTTTGTAGATGGGTTAGATTAGTAATTTAAAAGACATAAATGCTATGTTTATTTCATTCTTTAATTAAGAGCCTAATATGGTTTTGGCAGGTAGGAAGACCCCTAAAATATTCTATTGGTTCAGTCGCAAGTCGCAATATAATGAACTCTAGTTTTGGTCGTATTAGAGATGGGCAATACATCGTAATGTCTCTTTGCAAGTAAAATAATTGGTACCATTCGAGATTTTTCTTTTATTGATAATTCATTCATATAAAACATTTAAGATGCTTTTAAACATATTTTGGAATGAATTTTCCTGAATTAATACTAACAATAATAATTTTAAAGTTTATCAAAATGATTTTTTTATAATTTAAAATTTGAAAAAATGAATACGAATTATTTTTTAATATATTTATGAGCATCATCTATACCTCCTATTTACTCGGAGATAATTTGAATAGCTTAGTTACCTACACTTTGATTCCACAACAATCCGAAAAGTTCTCCTACGTAGTACTCCGGCTAAACCCAATTAGACATGCTGTTGTTGTTGCCTTCCGAAAGGAGGAGGAGGAGGAGGAGGCCCACAAGGTCATAAAGTCTCTTTTGACTCCGATCACATCGGCAAAAGGAAATTTCCAAAAGCTAAAGCCTGCATCGCAGTCATCTCGTGCAAAGATGGTGACCGAGATTTGCTTCTTCACCCCTTCCATGCCATTGCTCGTTTCGAGTTGAGATCAACATATGTTGTTAACGTTAGTCGATGAGTCAACTCATCTGATATCTCTTTTCGTATATTTAAATCACTAATCCAAAATAATTCTAACTTCAATTAGTAATTTGAGCTGATACATTAATTACTATTATTCTTCCTAACCATAAGCTCTCAAAATAATCTCATCTCCATACTCCATCGTGCTTGTATATATATATTAATTATCACATCGTGCACTATTACAGTTCATGCTCGCAGGCCAATCCATATAATTATATTAAACATACTGGACCTCGTACCTCACCTGCACTGAAGAACTTATAATACCAACCAGAATAATAATAACAGTTGGTTTGAATCATCGACGTATTTTGTTCATGGTTACTGCATTCGAAAGACTCGATGAGAAACAAATACAAGCTTCAAGCATAGTTAAGCTATGCTCGAATAATCACTATAAACAGTAAATAATAATTATCGCCGATGCATCTTCGTGCATGGTATGAAGTGATATTTCCACGCGGTGCACATCTTATCGACCGAGACCCGACCCAGAAATGGCGTCGCAGCATTATCCATTCAGCTGGCCATGCCGCAGGGTGGCCCCACCATCACCCACTAGTTGGGTGCAGGGATGGGTAACGACTGTCACGTTATTGGCTGTTTTATTATTGCCCCATAATAGCCAAGCAAATGACACCGGAAGCGACCGTACCCGTCGCCCGCTCCCGTCTCCCTAAACGACAAGCCGCGTGCGGGAGGGGGCCCACCGTGACCCATCAGCAGCCGTCCATCGGACGCCATCTGATGCCCGCCACTTGTCCACGTGACCGTTCCATCAAATTAGTGGGGAATTATTGGAAGGGACAGCAAAGAGAGCGCGGCGTCAATCCCAACCCGTCACCCTGATGCCTTGTCCACCGTCCGATCAACCGTGATATCACGCGATCCACCGGATCGAGGACGTCCGTTCTGCTGCGCTCCCCCCGAAATATTCGTTTCTCAAAATAATATAAAAAACAATAAATATTTATTTTTTCCTGTCACACCTAATCATTAAAAATCTAATGATTTCGTTACTAATTAAAGCGCCGGTCCGATGGCAGACACCGTAATTACGCCAACGATAAGGTCATTTGTGGACCTCGGGAGACGGTATTCTTCGTTTCCTGCTCTCCTTGTCCGCAAGCGACGGACAAAGACCAGCGGCACGAAGTTAACGGTCCATATCATTCCACGCGAACCGGCAAATTTATATCGACCGTCGGATTAAAGCACCGGGTCAGAATAACTAAACCGGAGTCTCAACTCCGGTTAGTGAAGCGTGGAAGCGAGAGAGCGAGAGAGAGAGAGAGAGAGAGAATAAGAAGCAAATACATTAGAAGCGGAGGCCCTCCTTGTCCTTTAGATCTCAGGCTAGGGCTTATATCTTGTGCACTTGTTTGGATTGATCGCTGGGTGGTGTTGTTGAAGGGTTTGTTCTTTGTGGTTTGTCAGATTTTTCTTTCCTTTTTGGACTTCTTTTTTATCCATGCGGTATGAGTGAGTTTCTTCCCCTAAATCTTCTCCTCGTTGATCCGATATGATCTGAGCGAGTTTTGATCCTTGGTCCATCGATTTATTCCGGAAAAGAGAGGTTTTTAGCATTTCCGAGGTGGATCTAAACCTGATTCCGGGTCAAATTGAAGAAGGGGAATGGTAGATGAAATATGGGATCTTTTCTGACTCTGTTACTTCTGTTCTGGATAGTTGCGGGTGGAGTTTATCGACATCCCTGATCGAGTTCTTGCTCTTCTGCTTGTTGTAAGCCGAGGGGGAAAGGGCGAGTGAGGAAAGATCTAGTTAGTTGTAGTCTTCAGCCATGACTTACTTCCCGGAGGAGGTGGTGGAGCACATCTTCGACTTCCTCGGCTCGCACCGGGACCGGAACGCGGTGTCGACGGTGTGCAAGGCTTGGTATCACGTGGAGCGGCTCAGCCGCCGGAATGTGTTCGTCGGCAACTGCTATGCCATCCGGCCTGAGCGAGTGATGGCGAGGTTCCCCGGGATGAAGTCGCTCAGTGTCAAGGGGAAGCCCCATTTCGCCGATTATAACCTGGTTCCTTATGACTGGGGTGGCTTTGCTCTCCCCTGGATCAAGGCCGCGGTGCGCCGCTGCCCGGGCCTCGAGGACCTGCGGCTGAAGAGAATGGTGGTTACCGATGATGACCTTGATCTCCTTGCGCGCTCCTTCCCCAACTTCAGATCACTTGTTCTCGTCAGCTGCGAGGGATTTAGCACTGATGGGCTCGCTGCGATTGCCACTTATTGCAGGTGAGCTGCCTATCTGTTATTACTTCGTTTCAGCGGAATGTATGGTTAATAAGTGTATCTTAAGGGTGTACGCGCATTTGTTTTCTCGGATTGTCTGCAATTAGTTGTTGTAGTTGAAGGTTATATCTTTTCTGCATGTACATCTCTCTCCGTTTATCATTAGGTATTGGAAGTCCAATCAATCTGTAGCATTTTTTCCTCAAGCAGGATATGCTATAGCTAAATTTTCTTTTTACTGTTCTGCTAAAAAAAATTAATCTTTGCTCCGTGGAGAGATTAATAAGGATTCATGGGTTGGCTCTGTGAGCATACAGATTGATTATAAGTTGCTTTTCTTCCCTATGTGTCTTGAATAAGTATTAGCAGCGTTTTGTAAGGATGAGATGACTTGATGAATTTAAAGGTGCTCACCTGACAATGTGGTAGGCTTAAATTCTTGTAATTATAAAGTAACATTAGCTTTTCCACTTTTCTAAAGAGTACGATTACTGGTTATAACATTTCTCTTGTTTGTTTTCCTCTGGTTGCTGCTTATTAGAGGTCTTAGGGAGCTGGATTTACAAGAAAATGAAGTGGAAGATCATGGGCGCCAATGGCTCAGTTGCTTTCATGAATCCTGTACTTCTCTGGTGTCCCTGAACTTTGCTTGCCTCAAAGGGGAGGTCAATGCAGGCGTTTTAGAGAGGCTCGTGGCTAGGTGCCCAAACCTCAGGAGCTTAAAGCTTAATCGTGCAGTATCTGTGGAGTCACTAAATGAGATTGTTGCTCGGGCTCCTTACTTAGTGGACCTTGGAACTGGTTCTTTCGCAGTTGACCACCATACCGATGCTTATCAAAGGCTGATGAATTCCTTTTCCAAATGCAAGTCATTGAGTAGCTTGTCAGGGTTCTGGGAAGCTTCTCCTCACTGCCTTGATGCAGTCTATCCAGTCTGCATCAATCTGACTGTTCTAAACATGAGCTATGCTCCTGCAATTCAGGCCGATGACCTTATCAAGCTGATTTCCCTTTGTTTTAAACTTCAAAAACTTTGGGTGAGATTTTGTTGATTTGTTTCTGAGATCATATAAGTTTCTCTGTATCATACGTTAACTAACTGTGGGCTGATTGTTTCACAGGTGTTGGATTGCATTGGGGATAAAGGATTAGCAGTTGTCGCCTCCACTTGTAAAGAACTGCAGGAATTGAGGGTATTTCCATCTGATATCTATGGTGCTGGAGCTACTTCTGTGACCGAGGAAGGTTTGGTTGCCATATCTTCAGGATGCCCCAAGCTTAATTCATTGCTTTACTTTTGCTATCAAATGACAAATGCTGCGCTTATAACTGTTGCAAAGAATTGTCCACATTTCACACGGTTCAGATTGTGTATCCTTGATCCTTGGAAACCAGACCCTGTCACTAATCAGCCACTTGATGAAGGTTTTGGGGCAATTGTGCGTTCGTGTAAAAACCTCAGGAGATTGTCACTATCAGGTCTTTTGACGGACCAGGTTTTCCTATATATTGGCCTATATGCAAAGTGTCTCGAGATGCTGTCCATAGCATTTGCTGGTGATAGTGATAAGGGGATGGTTTGCATTCTCAAAGGATGCAAAAATCTAAGGAAACTTGAAATAAGGGATTGTCCATTTGGTGATATCGCACTCCTGAATGATGTGGCAAAGTATGAGACAATGCGATCCCTTTGGATGTCGTCCTGCGACGTTACCCTGGGAGGTTGCAAGGCTCTTGCAGCAAAGATGCCAAGGCTTAATGTGGAGATCATAAATGAAAGCGAGGGAACTGATAAGCTTGAGGAAAATATTAGCGATCTCCACAAAGTGGAGAAGATGTACGTTTATCGGACTGTTGCTGGGCCAAGGAATGATGCACCAGATTTTGTTTGGACACTGTAGAATTGGCCAAGACATCTGTATTATTGTTAGTTTCCGGCGGTAATGTTCTTAAGTTCTTCCGATGTTTTATTTGCTTTAATGTTGTGGAAGTGGCACTATGCAATATCTGTTTAGGTTGGTTTTTTTAGATTGAAGCTAAGGAAGCCAAACGGAATTCCCGGGTTTGTAGCCTTTGATCTTGTGTAATTTTTCTAGGGGCTTGTGGTCCTTAATGGTAGTAGCAAAAGATTACTAGACATCATCATATGTCTTTTTATTCGACTTGCTTCCACTTTACAGTTTTAAAGTGAACACATCTTTTGAAAGTTTTCATGAGTTTAAAGAGTGAAGCATCTGCAAATTTGCTTCAATCATAATGTAAGTCTCATTCCTTGCTCTGATGTCTTGCCTGTACAATATCCAGTATACTCGGCATGACGAAAATGAGATGCTGGTTGATCCAACTAATAATCATATGGTTTAACTGTGCAGATTGTAAGTATGTAAATTTATTTATTTGAAGCTGGTACTATATTATGTGATGTCTTGACTCCAAAATCCAAGTTGATGGCCCCTTCACTCTCATTCGATCCATACAACTACTTTGTCATCAGATGTAACATTTCTTGATCCAAAACCATCAGCCCCATAAAGTCGATTACTAAAGAGAAGGAACTTTGTGGATTGTTCATCTCTGCTTTTGTTGCTTCCAACTCCCACCATGGAATGCCACACGTGCAGATTCAAACATGGGCAACTCTCTTTTTTCTTTGGTCTCTTGACATGGCTTTATTTTCTCGACACTGATAAGGTACAGATGGAGGGAGAGTGGGAGAAGAAGAGCATTGGTGGTGTTGGTGCAGTGATGAGATTGTGTCCCATTAAACTCATCATCGTCTTTCTTGTGTTTGGTCATATGGCCTTTTTCTTTTCGTCACTGTGGTTCGCAGAGGACGACCAGCTTTTCTGACCATTTGCATCTGCTTTTGGTCTCCCCGCTGTAGAATCCGCTGAATTCTTCCCTTGTGATCGTCTCTTTTTCGTCGTCACATGACAGTCCAGCCTGACTCGAACCAAAAAACATAGATAGGGGAGACTGAAATGAACTCTGTTCCTGCTTTCGTATCTTAAATAAATAACATTTTCTATTCTTAAAGTATCCAATTTATTAAATGCTTCTCAAGTGTTTTACAGCTTTTCTCTCGGCAGGAAATGTTCCATCACCTGCCAAATCAATCCAGCTGAATTAGTCACGAAATTGTTGCCCAGCCATGTACCACTCAATAGAAATTATTAAGGAAATTCCAGGAGCTCTCTCTCTCTCTCTCTCTCTCTCTTGTACACACACAATAACTACAAATGTCTTCAAGATCGTTTCATCAGAAAATGAAGATTATGGACTCTATTGTCTAAACTAGAGAATCAAACTGATTAAAATATAATAAGAAATGGGAACAAATTTGGCCTGTTGGGTATCTGTCATCTTCCTGGGAAGGACAAATACATAATAGGAACTTGTTGGTTGGAATGTAAGGCCAAAGGATACAGTATCGCAACAATTTTGGTCACTTCTATTTGCTCCCAAGTTCCATGAATACATCGCTGGCTGGCATCAAAGGACAGCGAAAGGGAGGAGTTAAAGAGGTCTTAGATTGCATCATTTGGCTATGGCTCCTTTACAGCAACAATACAGCTCAGATTGGTAGCGGTTGGATTGGACTCGTGGCATGAACAGTGACGACAGTGGTTTCAGCAAACGGCTGCTGCTGCTGCTGCTCCTGTTGCTGCACCCCGTATCTTATCACAACCTGTCTTTGGCTGTGGCCTCGGACGCGTCATGTCTCACCACGCAAATAGATGGATTGTGGCTGGCAAATGTTGTCGGAACTGGCGATACTAACTCTTCTCTCTCTCTCTCTCTCTCTCCCTGCAGAGATTCCCGTTTGCCAGAGGACGAAAGGTTCCTTTGTCTGAAGCAGTTAACTCCTTCGTCTACCCACCTTATTCCCTTCTCAGTCCCCAGAAGGCAAAAGAATTATACTATCTTAAGCTTCTTATGCACAGTTGGGGTTTGGCTTTGGTGTTGTAGAATCCAAAGCATATGTTTACTGCGTCATGAGAAAGACAAGTAATGGTCGATAGAAAATACAACGGGGAACAAAGCCAATGATCTCCGAAATGACCCTTACAAAAGTACCGTTCCGTTACAGAACAGAGGAAAGGATACAAGTAGATCTCCACGCGCGTCCATATCCCAAAGGCCCGCAACTGCCATGGATGACGAAAGATCCAATTCCGGCGTGGTCCTCTCGTACCCATTCGGAGTGTCCATCGCGTGATCTGCGTTCTTGGTGCTTTGAGATGCACGCGTGGACGTGATTTGAGATTGGAGCTCGGCGTGGGCGACGTGGGGAGTGAGGCAGGACCAGGGAAAACAAGCACACCTCATCGCTTCAGAGTCCACTACGCTTTTGTTCCCCGCGTCCAGGTTGGCGTGGAGCCTGAACCAAACATGGATGAAGAGGAAGAAGACGAAGAAGACGAGAGAGTCCCACACGGAGTGCGTGATTGCGGTACTGAGCCACTGATAACAACGATGACATTCTAAAGAGAACTCTTAATGAATTCAATTGATTGATCCCTCCTGTTTGTGGACTGATGTCATCTCTATGATTCACATCTGCGTGTAGTTCGGAAAGAAAGGGTACAAAGATTGCAACTTGCATGTTCATAAAAACGCGATCTTTGACACTGGATCAGCTCAGGAGGAGCCGTTGTTGCCGAGGTGGAAGAGGCGGCCACCGCAGCTCGGGCAGACATGGGCGCGCTTAGGGACCATGAAGTACGTGAAGCAGGCTCTGCAGCCGGCGGCGACAAGGACGTGGCCGCCGCCGCCGCCGCTGCCAACGTCATCGACGGACGCGGAGGTCTCCGTGGAGGAGGCGGAGGAAAGGCTGGAAGAGCAGGGGGTGTCTCCGCTGGCATCGTAGCTGGAGCCGGTGGTTTCTCCGCTGGCGTCGTAGCTGGAGCCGCTGTCCTCATCATCCGAGGCCTCGCCTTCGTCGGAATAGGATGAGGCGATCGTGGAGTTTCGCGGGTCCTCCGTGGTTCTGATGCCGGTCTCCCAGTTGATGTAGTAGACTTCCCCTGTCTGTAACAGTGGGAACAGGGGACATCAGTACGAGGCGACAACAAAGATCGAATTTTTGTGAGAAAATTTGATAAGAAATGCATCACTTGGGACGATCGAAATATTTGTCGACAGAACATATAACAAGATTCTCGGGAACCAATGAAAGATGAAAAGCTTGAAAAGCTGACGGGACAAAGGAGACATGGGAAGCCGATGAATCTGAACATGTTTTCGTGCTTGTCATGTATAAGCAACAAAAGGCCTTTTTTTTTTTCTTTTCTTTTCAGTTCTTTACAATCATGTTCCTTTGGTTGTGCTCATCCTTGACATGCAAATCAACAAAAGAATGAGCTGAGAAGGAGCAATTCCTTTCTACTACTAACCATCACAGTCTTTTTGCAGCAGAAAACCATAAGAACAGAATTGGTGCATTTGCGGTCAACGTTGGAAATGGTTGCGGTTGCAAGAGTGGCATTTACTACAAGAAAACCAGACGAGAAACATCAAGGAAGGATTTCGACGAGGGAATCGACATCTTAATGAGCATTAATGGCCAAATGATTGGGTAAACAGGGAGAGGAGTGGAGGAGGAGGCAGAGAACGCACCCTCATGTCGAGGTACTGCTCCCAGTTGTGCGGGAGGGCGGTCCCCGAGTTCAACTCCACCGTGACTCCCGCGATCTCGTCGCTGTCCTCGACGAGATGGCGCCGCTGCTGCCGCCGTGGCAGCGGCGGCGGCTTTGGCTCCCTCCGGCCTCTTCTCAGAGAGCAGTTCCGGAGAGAAGCGGTGATCATGTCGATGTTGGGCCGCGTCATCGCCGAATGCAATGCCCGAAACCAAACCAAAGCAAGTCCAGAGAGCAGAGAGGAGGGAAGAGCTCCTCCGGTCTAAAGACGAGCCATTTGGTTGATTTCTAGGGAAGTAATATATATATGTATATATATAAATAGAAGCGGCGGGGGGTAGAAACACGATACGAACTCAATTTTAACGCCATCTTTAGATCTCCTCTTGAGTTTACCTTCGATTCTTTTACTTGAAGCTTTACATCAGGTCACGAAGACCACACACAAGAATCTTTTTTGGATCCTTTGTCTGCAACTGATGCATTGAACCATATTTCGAAGCTCAATGACTTACGCAGAACTATGATTCCTCACGAATCATCCCTGAAATCTAATCTGCTTTCCTACACATATACAAGCAACATATTGGAAATTATGCAGAACTATGATTCGTGGATTTCCTTTTTCTACCCGCTATAACCATTTCATTACTGCAACAACAAGACCAAATTCACAGACGAAATCGACCATTATATTTCCTAGTGATCCTACCACTTGGACAAATCAAAATTTGATGGGATGGAAAACCCTCAACCTATAGTCTCAAAAGCATTCTCAAGAACAGACCAACCAGCTGCCACCAGGAGATCTAATCACCATCTCTTCTTCTTGCTTGACTTGCAGCACTTCACTTTGACGGGCTGGCAATCACACGAGTATGGCCAGTGATCCATATTTGGTTAAAAAGCTTCTCTGCATTAAAATCTTAATTTTCAAAGCAAATTGGATCAAAGATACAAACTTTAAGTACAGAAATACAAAGAACAGATTAAAAGCAGAAGACTAACACCTTTGCCTGAGCGTGTATTCCAGCAGTAATGGTTCGGATAATGCGTCAGAAATCATGTAATTGGATGTTAGAAGTTGCAGCAAATAGTTATGTCACAAAATAGAATGACAAATGATCTGAAGCAGATAACTCACTCATTCAAGTGGTAGAATTGGCGTAGAATAAGCATCCTAGATCAGATAATTAAGAAATTTGTCCCAGAATATTCAGCGAGAGAAGGAGGCAATAAAAGAAGCCATCATTATGCAAACGTAACAACATGTAGATGATAAGTGTCTCAAATAGGCATCCAAATGAATGCCAAACTTGGCACATTTTTATGGTTCTGATGGATCACCAAAATTGACAGATACCACAGGCTCAAAATAATGCATCTCAAATGTATAGTACCACTTAAAAGTATTAAGGCAAGAACAAACCTGTAGATCAGCTGATGCCTTTCACTTTAGATTCCAAGACGAATGTGTGAGAAGCAGTTGTGAAGATAAATGAGTAGTGAAACCACTGAAGACACAAAAAAACCATATATAAAGATAAAATCAAATGAAAGAAGCAAATACATTTTGCATGTATTTGATGTGATCAAACCTATTCTGAGACCAACAATCATCAGTAAGGCTCACATCATACACAATCCTGAATTGTTGCCAGTTGCACTTTTAAGGAATCAGGCTACAATAGTCAGCCAATTCAAAGCTTACATGAATTGGCTAAGTATCAGTCATAGAACTGAAACACCTCAAAGAAGCATCATACTTCACATGACTACATATATATACATACCCAATACAGCATGACTGCATCCCTAGTGCAAGAGAACAAACTCGAATCATGAAAAGAAATCTCATATGCAGAAAAAGAAGGAGAACGTGAGTCGATGCCCATCATAAAGAAGACGAGATTCTAACGTAGAAACACTACATTTCCCCTGTCCATAGTGAAAGAGAACAGAGGCCATTAATGAGGATGCTAAGGATCCATGAAGAACAATGGAAAATTTCCAAGTGAAGAATACCTGGGAAACAAATGAAATTGTGTAAACATCGACGACATCAAGAGAACAATGATGTGGGCAAAGTGATAACTCTCAGTTCCAATTACGAGAGAACAATGCATGAACATAGACAAATTGATTGAGATGACCAGTTGATACCAGTGGCCTGGTACCTGATTCTAAGATATGTCTTACCACCAGTTAAGATAAGGATTCCATTCCAGGACTGTAAAGTCAACCATAAGCTTCTTCTTGGCACTAACACCTCATGGAACATAGAAAGAGTAAGCAGCCTAGCATGAAGGAAAAGAGCCACTTAGATTAGCCAAGGAGACTGCCTATAAACCACACAAAGGTTTTGATTGCAGCACTGAAGACCATGGAGAGATCATAGGCAAGTCATCCTTGGCTACCCAAGTCAGGATCTTATCTTCATGTAAGGCCACTCTTCCACCTACTGCTTCAAGGATTGGCATACCCTCTCAATGGTTGTGCGCCTATTTATAATGCAGGAGGAGAGAGAAGGGACTGGATGCAGCCCGCCACATAAATTTGTCACTACCTCATCGCCTGATCCATGAGTCATTATCTCTGAGACCTACTGATGGCCTACTCTCAGAATTTATCCATGCAGAATATATTCTCCTGATTTCTTGGGACCAATATAGATGGATGTTAATTCCAATATACTTCACACACTCTTAGTTTCTTCCTAATAGCACTCTTAGTGGTTCTCCTCGTTGCGTTAATGCAAAATCTTAACTTCTGAGCAATTCTAATTATCACATGCTTTGACCTCTTGCATCGAACAGTAAGCGTCATGATCTTGCACAAAGTAGAATAATATATTCCGAGCCTTTTAGCAGCCTACTTGTTTTCTGATTGGTGAGGCACAAGTGGTGGAAAGAATTGACGAACTTTAATTCCTTTTCATGCTTTCAGTATATTGTTCCGATACAAATAAAGTCAATGCTATCCACCACTCTTTAAAGCATTTTGTTCTCTCCCAATTGGTTGACCCTTAGGATCCAGTAAGGTCAAGGCTTTCAGGTGATGGCAATTCAAACTTGGCTATATGCCAAGCTTCTTCGACAAAAAAGTTCTCCAGTCACACACATACATATCCTCTGCATTGGCAGCCCTACTTATGGAAGCTATTGGAAGGCTTAGGTGCCATGAACTTGTGGTCAAGGCAATTGCAGAAAAGATGGGGAATGTCATTCATGTCTGTGTCTGGCTGCTAATGAATCAGATGCATTCTTGGATCCTATCAGTGCCCTTTCCTGTATCTATCAAAACGTTGCATCAGTTTCAGTACATTGCAGCATTGGATAAACTCGACAAATATATATATATATATATATATATATATATACACACACACACGCAAAAGAAATAATTCTCTAGCATATTAGATGTTGAAAACTTGCACTGTTTTGAGGGACATGGAGGGCAGAGCTCAGAGACTCTGAACTTATCTTTAAAGAATCATGGACAAGAAATGGTGGACCACTGGCAGAATATTTTTGGGTACCACATGTTTGATCTACTCGTGAAGGAGTTCAAAAAAATTTGAGCTCCATTTCATATCAACAATTAATTTGCAGGTAAAGATTATTCGATCGCCAAGTACTTGGTTGTTGAATCAAGTGCAGGTTTTTAGTATATGATCTAACAGTGGAATCCAACCTTTTCAAGAGCTCAAGGAGCACAGAAGCTTCAGTTCATGTTTCTGCAATCAATGAACCATGTGAAATGCGAGCAAAACAAGATTGCAGACTCTCTCCTCCAAAGCAGCACTGGGAGATGTTGCTGATGATGTTTGGCTTGGGAATTTCCCAACTGTTGTCGTGTATAAAGAAAGAAAATGGTTGAAAATATCAAATCTGCTAATTTTACTGCTATTCCGATTGTTCAAGACTTGGATTAAATAGTTAGTTATCGTGATGATGATGATGATGATGATTTCTAGATGTACAGTTTGTTGGATCAAATATATGCAAACAAACTAAAAAAAGAATTTTACTGTGTTCTGTATTAGGAAAGATATTATTGAAAAAAATAAATCATAATAATATTATCATAATTTTCAATATTTTGATATTATATTATCATAATTCTATTAGTAATAAAGATCACAATCTCTAGTGAATTATTTTATATTTTTATTATTGATTAAAAATTTATATAATTATCATATTTTATAATATCTCTTTATGTATATAAATTCATACTCATTATGAATAAAATTTAATAATCTATCAAATAATCAATTCTTTTTGTTTTATGCTTCACTTTATTTAAAACCTCTATCAAGATTTTAATTACCAGTTCGATACATATCTTTACAATCTAATTTTATTCATACATATAAATAATATTTAGTTATTTTTATTATATGATCAAGAACATTAGAACGATTGGACCGGTTCAAGCGAACCCGACCGGCTGGTGGACCGGCAGAGACCGGTCCACTGGCGCCAATCTCTCTCTCGTCTTCGCGGCAATAAAAGTCTTCCAAGTACGACTATTTGTTGTAATTTATTCTTCGAATTGCCGACTCGGTTGCTGCTCCTCCGCCGTCGCCATGTGAGCCCCTCTCGAAAGCCGCGAAGGATCTCAATGTCGAACCCCCGAGACCGAGAGAGATCTCCTCCTCCCTCCGCTCGCATCACCCGGAAGCTTCTTCCTCTGCTTTCTCTCGTCAGCATCTCCTTGCCCCCTTCTTTCATTTTTGCACTGTGGATTTTGATCGGTTAGCTTGGGGTTTTGGTGGTTCCTCCTATGGCCGCCAGGAACCTGAAAAATCTCATCTTTTGATGAACCTCTGGTGTTTCCCCTGCTTTTCTACGCTTGCGAAGCTTCCTTTAACGCTGCTACTTCACTTTTTGAATCGTGGCAACTGTAAGAATCTCATGTTTTGATAAGTTTCTTGTGTTTTAGCGTTTTCTTGTGCTATGTCTTTCTTGTTCCGTCCCTCTGCTTCAAATTTCGCTTTAGTTTTTTCTAACCCTTAGACAGAGCGCCTGCAACTGAAAAGATTGAATCTTTTTCGTTATTCTATATGCAATGCCTGTTATAATTTTCGTCTCTCTTTCAGCAACTACAAGAATCGCAGATATCTGGATTTTAGTGTTGCGTCCCATCCTTTTATGTTCACTTATTTTGAAAGATGGTTTCTAAACACAATTCCAAGTCGTTCTTAATCCATGGTCAATTTCTCACGGTTATCTTCAAAATTCTTGACATTTCTGTATTTTCACTCGATTCTGTTCTCATTGAGCTTATTGTTTCTGTTGTTTCTTGATGGTATGCCTATGCCAGGATGTTTGGGATAAGACACTGTCCAACATTCGAGAAGAATGGGTTGCACTTCGTCTATTCCGAAAAGGTATCCTATGGGAAGGAAGAAGAAAAAGCACATCAGCATCCATGAGGTTGCGGTATTTGTCCCAGCGGTCCGGGTTCCTGTGGCTGTGGATCTCATTCGCCCTCTTAGAGGATTGGTACCTCAAGATCTTCTTGACAAGCTGTCTGCGCTTCGGGGTCGAATAGTGTTGCTGACTGAAGAGAATTGTACACGATCTTAATCTTATCTTCTCATCAACTTTGTATCCGGATTTCAGATCCATGCGTTCTAACTTAAACTATTATTAGATCTTTCATCAGTACCTACTGTATCAGAACTCCAGCGAGCCCTTGAAGAATACCTACGGGTCCTTCTTGGTATGTTGAAACCAGGTATGAACCTCTTATTGATTCATTATTTTCTTCTTTTTTAACCTGATAGGCGGTCTGACTAAATAAATGATTACCTTGTAGAACACCGGCTTGAGGCATCAGTAGAATTTAAGTGGAAGAGCCTTGGAGATGATGGTCATGTATGATTCTATTCTGGTGAATTTATTGATCTGGTATGTTTCATCTAATTTCTTTAAGTAAAAAGGTTGAAATTTTTCTTAGGAAACTTGTCTTGCGAGTGCTTGGTACGAAGTGCTGTCAGTCGTTCATATGATGGCAATTCTTTCATTACTGGAGGCAAACCTAATGCTCGTGCCAAAGGATAGTCTAGATTCATGTGAAAGGAAAGTATCAGAAGGTTTGTCTTTTGTTTTATAATATTGAAGGATAACATCAAAACACAATCTTGATTCCTTCATAGAATTTGCTGGTAGCTAATTATAAATATGAAACCTGGGCTCTGGAAGATATTGATTCCTGATCATCATTTGCTCAACAGATTCAAAGAGGGTTGCTATTGATTTGTTACTCAAGGCTTCAGGATGCTTGGAGTACTGTGTTCACCAGATACTGGTGCATTTACCGATGCACATAAGGTAACAGCCAAAGTTTGCATGACATTTTTCCCGTGCCATCACATGATAGCAAATTACCAAATCAAAGTATCATGGAACCTGAAATTATGGTTTACATGATTTGTTACTCGAGGCACTTGGGCCCCTTAGACTATAAACTATGACATCATTTATATGGGTTGAGTGGGTGTAGGTGCACCTAAGATTTTGTTTATTTTTTGAGCTATAGGATCCCAGATGTTGGTTATTTCATGTTTCATTTGCTGCTATTTCATGATGTAGCCACACTCTTTTGGTTGTTACCTCACTCTGACTTCAGCATGTTATTCTAGGAAAAGTCTGCCAAACGACTTGCAAGATGGAATATTGGAGTCTATCTCTTCTCAAGCATTGGCCCAGGTGTCTTAATTTCACTAACTATTCAATATGAGGATCAAATGTATTGTTGGTAGATAATACTAGAATAATTGATGATTTTGCATGGTAAACATATTATTATACTTTTCTATTTGGACATTTTTACTTCATATTATGTTAAAACAAGATATTTATTTAGATAACGCAACAGATTGCTTAGATCAAGGATTGTCATGTTGGTCAGCATGGGTAGCATGTGCTTTGCCAGAAAGGTGATGGCACATGGTGTGACCATGCTGAGACGTATGACTAATACAATTTCTGTCTCATGCTTGCTAGCATAGAGACATGATGCACATTCATGTTATACCAAAAAGGTATCAACATGCCCTCAAGCCATGAAATAATCCATGCTGAAGATGAAAAGAAGTTGATTCTTGGAGGTGTATGGTCCTTGGGCTTTTTGTATCATTGACAATTATAGCTGAGTAATTAATTATCCATTTACCTTTTCTCCTATTTGATTTACTATTTATATATAATCTGCAATTAGAACAACAAAGCCTTTTTCCATCATAGTTAGACGATCTGTCCTAACTTGTTTTTGTCTTGATTAGATTCCTTCAATCAGAACTTAAATTTTGAACAAGAACTAGTTATGTCCTAAAGGACCTAAAACTTATGAGATAAAGTCAACAATTTGAAGAAACTTTTGTTCAATTGGATTGCAGAGTGGTATCAAACTACATAAGAATCATCATAAAATATGCCAGATTATCTTTAATTTCA